ATTGATTTCCTGTGTGGGTGTTACCTTCTAGGTTAATTCTTTTTGATCTAACCTTTTCTCTAGTTCCTGTCCCTTTTCCTATTGGCCTCAGTTGCTTTTAAGGTATCTGCTTTAGTTTCTCTGCGTTAAGGGCAACAAATGCTAGCTATTTTTTTAGGTGTCTTACCTATCCTCACCCTCCCTTGTGTGCTCTCGCTTTTATCATGTGCTCAAAGTCCAATCCCCTTGTTGTGTTTGCCTTGATCTAATGTCCACATATGAGGGAGAACATACGATTTTTGGTCTTTTGGCCAGGCTAACCTCACTCAGAATGATGTTCTCCAATTCCATCCATTTACCAGCAATGATAACATTTCGTTCTTCTTCATGGCTGCATAAATTCCATTGTGTATAGATACCACATTTTCTTAATCCATTCGTCAGTGGTGGGGCATCTTGGCTGTTTCCATAACTTGGCTATTGTGAATAGTGTGCAATAAACATGGTGTGCAGGTGCCTCTGGAGAACTGTTCACAGTCTTTTGGTATACCCCAAGAGTGGTATGCTGGACAAATGGAGATCAATGTTTAGCTTTTTAAGTAGCTCCCAAATTCCATATTTTGAATATAGGTTCTCGAAGTAGTCTCTGATGATTTCCTGACTTTCCATGTGGTTATCTCCCCTTTTGCATTCCTGATTCTACTAATTTGGGTTTTTTCTCTCCTCATTTTAGTCAGGTTTGCCAGGGGTCTATCGATCTTTTTATTTTTTCAAAGAACCAACTTTTGTTTCATTAATTCTTTGTATGGTTTTTTTGGTTTCTATTTCATTGATTTCAGCTCTTATTTTATTATTTCTCCTTCTATTTGTTTGGGATTTGCTTGTTCTTTTTTTCTAGGAGTTGAGATGTATCATTAGGTCATTGATTTGGGATCTTTCAGTCTTTTTAATATATGCACTCATGGCTATAAACTTCCTCTCAGACTGCCTTAGCTGTGTCCCATAGGTTCCTTAGGTTGTGTTTTCATTTTCATTGACTTCCAGGAACTTTTTAATTTCCTCTTTTATTTCATCGATGATCCATTCTTCATTAAGTAATGAGTTATTTAGTTTCCAGCTGTTTGCATGTTTTTGTCTTTACTTTTGTTGTTGAGTTCTACTTTTACTGCATTGTGATCAGATAGTATGCACGGTATAATTTCTATTTTTTATATTTGCTGAGGCTTGCTTTGTGCCCTAGGATATGATCTATTTTGGAGAAGGTTCCATGGGCTGCTGAGAAGAATGTATATTGTGTAGAAGTTGGATGAAATGTTCTGTAGACATCAACTAGGTCCATTTGATCTATTGTATATTTTAGATCTTGGATTTCTTTATTGATTTTTTGTTTGGATGACCTATCTATTGATGATAATGGGGTGTTAAAGTCTCCCACAACCACTGTGTTGGTTAATATATGCTTTTAGGTCTTTCAGGGTATGTTTGATGAAATTGGTGTGTTGACATTGGGTGCATACAGGTTGATGATTATTATTTCCTTTTGGTCTATTTCCCCTTTTATTAGTATGGAATGTCCTTCTTTATCTCATTTGATCAATGTAGGTTTGAAGTCTACTTTGTCAGAGATAAGTATTGCTACTCCTGCCTGTTTTGGGGCCATTGGCTTGGTAAATCTTCTTCCAGCCTTTCATCCTAAGCCTATGCTTATTTCTGTTGGTGAGATGGGTCTCCTGTAAGCAACAAATTGTTGGATCTTCCTTTTTAATCCATTTCATCAAATGGTGCCTTTTGATGGGGGATTTAAGTCCATTAACATTAAGTGTAGTACTGATAGGTATGTGGTGATTCCTGTCATTTAGTTGTCTTAGTTGTTTGAAGGTTTGATTGTGTGTACCTAAGTTGAGGTTACTCTCTACTTCTTGCTTTTTCTTTCCTGTGGTTTGGTGCTGCCTGTCTTTTCATGGTTAAGTTGGGTTTCACTTTCTGTGTGCAGAATCCCTTGAAGAATGTTTTTAGTGTGGCTTTGTGGTCACATATTGTTTTAGTTTCTGCTTATCATGGAAGACTTTTATTGCTCCATCTATTTTGAATGATAGTTTTGCTGGGTAGGTATCCTGGGGTTGAAGTTATTTTCATTCAGTGCCCGGAAGATCTCACCCCACGCTCTTCTTGCTTTTAATGTTTCTGTTGAGAAGTCTGCTGTGATTTTGATGGGTTTACCTTTGTATGTTACTTGTTTTTTCTCTCTTACAGCCTTCAATATTCTTTCTCTAGTTTCTGAACTTGTTGTTTTAATGATGATATGTCGTGGGGTAGTTCTATTTTGATCTGGTCTGTTTGGTGTCCTGGAGGCCTCTTGCATCTGTATGGGAATATCTTTCTCTAGATTTGGGAAATTTTCCATTATTATTTTGTTGAATATATTACGCATTCCCTTGGCTTGCACCTCTTCTCCTTCTTCGATGCCCATGATTCTCAAGTTTGGTCTTTTGATGGAGTCGGTGAGTTCTTGCATTTTCTTTTCACAGGTCTTGAGTTGTTTAATTAATAGTTCTTCAGTTTTTCCTTTAATTACCATTTCATCTTCAAGTTCTGAGATTCTGTCTTCTGTTTGTTCTATTCTGCTGGATTGGCCTTCCGTTTTGTTTTGCAGTTCTGTTTGTTCTTTTTTCTGAGGTTTTCCATATCCTGGGTGTTTCCTCTTTAATGTTGTCTATTTTTGTCCTGAGTTCATTTATCTGTTTATTCATCATGTTCTCTGTTTCACTTTGGTGTTTATACAGTGCTTCTATGGTTTCCTTTATTTCTTCTTTTGCTTTTTCAAATTCTCTATTTTTGTTGTCTTGGAATTTCTTGAGTGTCTCCTGTACATTTTGGTTGACCCTATCCAGTATCATCTCTATAAAATTCTCATTGAGTACCTGTAGTATGTCTTCTTTTAAATTATTCTTGTGGGCTTCATTGGGTTCTTTGGCATAGTTTATCTTCATTTTGTTGGAGTCTGGATCTGAGTATCTGTTTTCTTCATTTCCCTCTGGTTCCTGTACTAATTTTTTGCTGTGGGGAAACTGGTTTCCCTTTTTTTCTGTCTTCCCATCATTGTCCTTGGTGTTGTTACTGTCCCTGTACTGTGTGCAATTAAGTATTTTCTAGCTTGTAATAATAACAATGGTAATATTTAGAATGGAAGGGTGAGAGGAGATGGATAGCAAGAAGTTAAAGAAAAGGGAAAAACAAACAAACAGGTAGGAAAAAACAAAACAAGACAGTTTGAAAGGTATAAACAGTGAGCGGTTAGTGTACTAATTGACAGTAAGCTGAACAGGCTAAGAGCGACAGAGAGAGGATTGAAAATAAAAAATAAAAAGAATAAAGATAAGAATAAAATTAAAAAATAAGTGAATGAAGGTAATATATATAAATAAAATAACAAAATAGAAAATAGAAAATAAAAACAATAATTAAAAAAAAAAAAACCTCCAAGTTCAAATGCAATGAAATTTCAGTCTTAATAATTTGGGTGTCCGTCTCAGTCTCCAATCCTGGAGTTGGTGCCTCAGATGTCGTTCTGTAGTTGTCTCATCAAAGGGGATGCCTAAAGTAGAACAAAACTGCACACACACACACACACACAAAACCCACAAAGTGTCCCAAGTTCAAATGCAATACAGTTTCAGTAAGTTTTTCAGCATGCAGGTGTAGTTAGGTTGTTTTCTCATCAAAGGTAGGGAGAGAGAAAAAAAAAAGAGTCTGGAGACAGTTCTGTGAATGGTATCTGCGGCTGTGGCTTGCCTGCCCACTGCTGTCAGCCTGCTGTTGCTGGAGGCGTTATTTATGCAGATCTCAGGGGTGAGATTAGCACTCACCTGGCCCTGCAGGCTTTGTTTACACAGAGTTCTCCTGTGCACGAGCCTCTGCTACACGCTTTCCCCTTTCCAAGCACACTGCACCTGCTTTCTCAGGCCTGCGTGTTTGTTTACAGTTCACATGGGAAGTGGGTCTTTCCTCCTCTCCTGTGGAGTTTTCCTCCCACTGCCACTTTTACAAGCTTTCCTGCTCCTGATTACTGGGCAGTGCTGTTGCTCCTGCCAGCCGCCATGTTTGTTTACAACTCACGTGGGAAGTGGGTCTTCCCTCCTCTCCTGTGGAGTTTTCCTCCCTCTGCCACTCTCACAAGCTTTCCCTCTCCTGGTTGCTGGGCGCGTGCCCCTGCTCCCAACAGAGCCTCTCCGGCCCGCCTGGCTTGTTTATTTACAGTTCCGGGAAGGATTCCCTTCCCCCAATCTTCGGCGGTCAGTGCACCCCACCCTCTTTCCAGCATGTCTTTTTTGTTCTTATTGCTTATTACTCAGTTTCTCTTTTTTCCCCAGATGGAGTTCAGTCTGTCCAGGGAGCTATGCCGCTCTAGCCCAGGGTTGTCTGTGGGAGTACCATGGTACTGCTAAGCTCACCTTGTCTGCATCTTCCCAAGCCATCTGGGCATGGGTGGCTGGCAGCTGGTGGCCAGCAGCTGGCAGCCCGGGAGCCCTCCTGATTTTTCCATTTAACGTGAAGTGAAGATGCTCTGTGCTGGCTGGAGGTATGGAGGGGTCAAAGTTTTGCCTCTTCTTGGTGGTTTTGCCTGCAAGGTGTGTCTCCAGTGTCTCTCCAAGATTTCACCATAGGAGGCATGCAATCTGCTTCCTTCCTCTAGCTGCCATCTTGGAATCTCCCTTTGTACAGAAGTTAGTACCATCTCCTAGCTGCTACCAACCACACAAAATTTTGTTTTGAGAAGCTGAATCATTTCAATGTGGTTTTCTCTAGGACTCTGTGAATGCATGTACAGTTGTATTACCAGATATAATTACAAAATTTGTGTCCTTAATATGAAAAGTTAAACTGTTTATATTCTTTTTACATGTGCCATAATTACAAAAATGGTATAAACATCATGGTTACTGGATAAATAATTATCAACTCAGTAAGAAATATAATGTTGGGTTCTCATTTTAAAATGTAGTATACAAATTTATACTTACCCATCATAATTTTCATTGATCCCTGCAAATTTATCTGGGTCACAATGTACAAAAATTATAAGCACAAGAAATATAATTGATACAATAGATGTAGTCACTATAAATCTCATTAGGGCTTTACAAGACATTTTTAACTTGGAAACAATGACACCTCCCAGTAAATGGCCAACTGAGCCTCCTGGAATTAAAATAACTCCTACAGAAAAGGAAGGAGAAAAACACAGTTAAAAATACTCATTTGAGAGTGCATACAATCCACACATTGATGCAATTACCACTACTGTAACATAAACCAAATACATATTTTAAGTTAAAAAAAAACAGTATGGAATTATAAACATTTTAGTAAACACAAACCTTATAGGAAACACAAACTTGTGAGTGAGGCTGGAGCCATGGGTCTATTGGACTCTTGCTCCTACATGGTAATAGCAACTGAGAAAAACCAGGAATTTAATCCATCCCAAACAGAAGCTAGGAGTTCCAATTGAGAGCTATTATTATTAGCTGACTGGATTTATGGCCTATTACAAAAGGCATGATTAAAATAACAGGTATTCTCAAGTGGAAATTTGTGAACAAGAATTAAAGCAAGGCACCCATTGCATCTATAAATGGATGTGTGATATGAACAGAGTGGGACTCTAAAATGGTCATAAGAGATGGTTTTCTATTTAAGTATAAATAAATAAAAATAGGCAAGTACAAGAAGGAAAGATGGGAAAGAGGGAAAGGAAAAGAGAGAGAAGGAATAGAAGTATAGCTAGAAAATACTTAAGTAAAAATACATAGGAAATTCATACATGATGCAATGCAATCCAAACACAAGGCAATGTATGTAGATTTAAATAGAAACACAGCACGAGAAACTTAAAGCACAAATAACAAAAATCCCATTAACACTAAATTAAATTTGTCTCATAGAAAGTCTGATAGACTTGAAAATAAGGAATTTCAGAATGTTCAAAAAGATACCTGATATAAAAATGAAATGTCCCATTAAACAAAGGAAATGAAAAGGGAAAGGAAGAAAACAGATTGATGATAAAGGAATAAGAAAATTAGGCAATAAGAAATAATTGTTAAAACAAACCTACGGTGGAGGCTCAGGGTATCCGAACAGAGGCAACCAGCACTACTCTGCTCCTCCATGGGATGGAAAAAAAGCAACAGAGGTGTAACTGTTCATGGAAGAAAATGTATGTGGGGGGGGGCAATAGAAGCCAACTACACAGAAAATAAGACCTTGGTGCATTCCAGAGACTAGGGAGAATAACAAAGCAAGAGAAGCAGAATATCCTAGCTCTTGGCACCTACATGTCAGTTAGAGAAAGGAAATTCTCTCTAAAGGTATAAAAGTGAAAGAGAGCCACACCACGGCACAAAAAACTTGTACCATGCAGATAAACCACTTAAATTGATAGGTGACTTAACAGTGAGCACAACAAGCTACCTTTGAAGAAAATTCAGGGGATTTTTCAGCAAAATCTTAAGAGTATTATAGTCTGGATCCTTACTGAGAAGCATCCAGTTGTTAGGGACTAAACTGCTCTGAAGATCAGAACAGCTCACATAATCAAATCTCAGGTTGCTTGTGAACACTTCACAGCATGGAATGGGTAGACAGCAGCCACATGAGATAGTCTTGGCTTGGGGAGTTTCTCTGAGAGGTTTACACTGTGGGGAGTGAAGGTTATGAAAGGGAAGGGTCTAGAGGTCACAGTAGTTCAGCCATCCTTCCCTCTGTGATGTGAAATGACATCAGTCACATGTAGTTTCACATGGGGTTCATGTCTGAAAGCACTGGGTTCCAGTTTAGCAAGTACTCAGTTCCCACATGTTCCATTCAGCAGATAACTTAGTGGTCTAATTGCTCCCCCAGGCTCCCCCCACTACATGCCTCCAGGGGCATTCCAGGGATCTACTGTGTTTCAGACATTTCTGTGCCCCAGGCTGCAAAGACCAAAAACCTCCAGAAGGAATGTATGCCCACCTGACATGGCCCACATTCCACCAATACTTGTTCAGAGAATAAGACTTGCTGTGTCCTAAATATTAGCTTCATCCCCAATGTGCAGACTAAAACTTATAGAGTGAATATACATCCAGTATTGTCCCTATTCTTCCAAAACTCCTTTGGTGAGAAGGGATTTCTGTGCTTGCAACATTAGCCATTCCATTGGGACATGGAGAATAAAAGGCTCTCAAGAGAATATACCAATTAGCATGGTCAACATTTCCCTAACCTTTCCAATGTGAGGCACATCCTGCATTCTTCCCCAACTAATTTGGTGACTGCTAAAAGCAATTACAACAATCTGAACCTGTGACCTATTTCCTCCCTCACCATACCTAGCAGACTACAACTTTAGATGACCCAGAGAAATACTTCTTGGCTAAGAGATATTTATTACTCATTTTCCCCAGTTATTTTATCTTTTAAGTTTTAAAATTTCTTGTTTTTCTTATTTTATCTTCTTTTTATTGTTTAATTGAATTTTTTCTTTTTCTTTCTTTTTTCTTTTCTCCCTTTATTTCTATTTATATTGTTTTCTTTTCTTTTCTTTTTCTTAAACATTTTCATTAGCATATTTAGTCATATGGGGGGATTCACAGTGACATTTCCATTCATGCTTACAATGCATCTGGGTTAGGTTCATCCCCACCATCATTTTCCCTCATCCCCTTATTTCCTATTTAAAATAATTTCAACAGGCATCAGTGTTCTATTTTGATATGAGCATATTAATTCTTTTTATTTACCTATTTTTATTTTTCTAAAAATAGTTCTCTTTCTCTCTCTCACTTCCAGTGCTGTGGAGTTCCAGCCCATGGCCTCAAGTACACTGGGCAGGTACTCTGCCTCTAAGTTACCTTCCCAGCTGAGCTGAGAAAAATTAAGCCCATCTCCAACCACAATTAAGTTCTAATTAAACTCTGGTGGACATTCTACTTAAAGAAAACATAGCTTCTACTGGTGATCTGTCCTGAGGCAGGAACAGAAAGGGGATGCCTCTTGGGTAAATATTCCCACAGCAGCAGGAGAGAAAAAACCATAATGGTAGATGAGACCACATCTATTCTGGGCTTCTACATTGATAACATATACACTAAATCAGATTGCATAGACCTGATAATCCTGAATGTCAGTTCTACAGTGGGACAGCTGTGATTCCAGTTCTGCTATCCTCCTCTACCCTATTATACCTCCCCTCTACCCTATTACACCACCCCTCTACCCTATTATATCCCCCCACCCTATTACATCCCCCTCTACCCTATTACACCCCCCATTACACCCCACACCCTATTACACCCCCTCACCCTATTACACCCCCTGTACACTATTACACCCCCACCCTATTACACCCCCCTCTACCCTATTGCATGCCCCCTCTACCCTATTACACCCCCACCCTATTACACCCCCCCTCTACCCTATTACAGCCCCCTCTACCCTATTACATCCCCCCTCTACACTTTGAGGTGGGTGATGGTAAGGCACTGAGATTTCAGTAATGTACTGATAGAACCATATTTTAAAAAGAAAGGTGGAAAGTCAGAACATAGGGAGTCAGAACATAGGGAGATAAAGTCCACTACCACAGGCCAACTGCCTTGAATGGAATTAGTGTGACTGCAGAGGGTGGGACATGAGGCAAAAAAAAATAAAGAATGAATGAAAGTCACAGAAAACATGTACCATGATTTCAGTTTTGGATATATAAAATCATTTAATAAAAAGTGACACTTTTAGATAGAAAACTGGTGATAGTGAAAGATTCAGCAAGAGGTCTAGGTAGAAAACATGCAGCAGAGGAAGAGAGCAGAGACAAAGAATAAATGACTCAGAAAGCACAATTAATGATAGACTCAATACTAAACATATTTGCAGTCTAAGCAAACAGGGGTCCTATAGTCTTCCTGGTGAATAGGCACTAGGAATGTTCTCTCTTCTGCCTGGTATTTGGTTATAGTGCACTGGTAGGAAGTCATTGTTTAAAAACTCTGAGCTTTCAGCTTCAGGGATCAGAAGTCCTAGTATCTTGTGATTTCTTGGAACATCCAAGAAAGATAGAGTGGGCATTTGTTCACAGAGTGCTGGTGGGAGAGTTGAATCAGCTATAGCAAAAAGTCTGAGTCAGAGATACTGGGAGCAAGGCATAGTGGGAAACTGCTCAGTCACAGAGGTGAGTGGAAAGCACTTTCCACCTGGGCAGAGATCTGGGAAGCAGAGTCCTGGAAGAATGTTCCTCCAATGAGGGACAGCCCTCCACAAAACAAGCCCTCTGGTTGCTAGGAAGACAGAAAAGAAATTAAAGGAAGCTGAAATAAAAGACTAATGTCATGGTTTGCCCTCACTGGGTAAAGAGGACCCAGAGCCACTGATCCAGATTCCACCAAAGTCAAAATTAGTATCCTTAGCTTAGAAGACTCAATACCCATCCTCTTTTTTATTCATTTTTCCTCCTTTTTTCTGTCTTCAATTGTTCACTTTTATATAGAGACTTTTAAAACCAGAACAGTTAGTTAAACACTCACATGAGAATTTTTATTCTATTTTTACACAATTTCTTTTTCTTTCTCTGTAGGTTTTATACTTCCACTATATGACTGCTCCATTCAATATCTAATTTCTTTGGCCTGTTTGTCTTGTTCTGCTTTTTATGGGAGGTCTGGCCTAGGGCTTCCAGTCTCCTTGTCTCAGCCTCCAAAGTGCTGGAGTTGTAGACATGAGACACCATACACAGCTTCCAGTTTTTAATCCTTTTATTTTCTTCTGTCTTTCTCTTTCCCCCATCATTTCTCTGCCATTAATTAGATAAGTTTTCTTCTTTCTCTATTCTTCTTTCTATACTTCTTTTAATTGTCAATACTTTTTACTTGGTGAAATGTTTGCTTGATTTTATTACTTTCTCAATTTGCCATTAGCTGGATATTCCTTGTTACCTTCTACAGTAAATGTATCTATCAAGTGTGCTTGCTTCTGCAACTAATTTCTCTTCTTTGATGGTTTTGGAGATTGGACCTGGTCCTTCAGAACACTGGGGGCATGTATATCTGGCTGACAAGCTATGCCACTGAACAGTGGTAAGTAACTGCTCCTTACCCTTGCCACAACCTAGTCCTACCTGAACATTGCAAACACTTCAACTGGAAGAATATAGGGTATTAAAACCTCCAATAAATCTTAAC